GTGCTGGGAAAGCAGTGTGAATGAGCCTTTAAAGAGCTTGCACTCTGGGCCGGGCGCGGTGGCTCAAGCCTGTAGTCCCAGCACTTTGGGAGGCCGAGACGGGCGGATCACAAGGTCGGGAGATCGAGACCATCCTGGCTAACACGGTGAAACCCCGTCTCTACTAAAAAATACAAAAAACTAGCCGGGCGCAGTGGCGGGCGCCTGTAGTCCCAGCTACTCGGGAGGCTGAGGCGGGAGAATGGCGTGAACCCGGGAGGCGGAGCTTGCAGTGAGCTGAGATCCGGCCACTGCACTCCAGCCTGGGCGGCAGAGCGAGACTCCGTCTCAAAAAAAAAAAAAAAAAAAAAAAAAAAAGAGCTTGCACTCTGTTAGAAGAGAGGTTTAAGCCAATGATTACAACACAGTGTGGTGCTTCAATATCAAAAGTATGTGTACCCTCACAAATAAATATGAAAACATCTCATAATAGGCATATAAACATAATAGGCAACTCATAAAAGAGTACAAATGGTCAATAGATCAAACCCATTGTTTGCCTATGCAATCGGTGTATATTAAAAAGCTCATAATATCCACCGTTGGTGGGAGGTGTGGGAAAATGGCCATTCTTATGCTCTTACTGGACCACATTTCTACAGAATAATTTGAAAAGCTGGTCATTTAAAGCCGTTTAAAACTGTATATTCTTTGACTTGGAAATTCTATCGGTTTCAGTGAGTGGATAAACTAGTTTTGCTAACCAAAGGAAAATAATTCAATTTTAGGAAAACGGTAACTTTGGTTTAACAGTATAAATTTCAGACTCCTACAAGATATCCAAAGGGAATTGTCTAGGAGGCAGTTGGACATATATAATAATTAGCATTTACTCATGGTGTTTGCTATGTTTGCTAATCTTACATAATTTCATTTAATCTCTCCAAAATTCAAAGCCGTCTGTGTAACATTGGCAGGACCAAGATTCAAACACAGCTCTTAACCCAAAGTTCTTAGTCAATATTCGATTCATGGTCCATGGGTTTGACACCTGGCAGAAAGGTCCAAGATAGAAATATACATTTGCAAGTTTATCTTTCGTTCACTCATTCATTCAGCAGAAATGTATTAGGTACCTAAGGTTGGATCTAAGAATACCAAGAAAGTAAAGTTAACTTTCTTATTCTTAGGGACACAAAACAGAGATAGGCATGAAAACAAAAAACTGCAGTATGATACGACAGTGATAATAGAAATACTGAAGAGGAATAATACCAACCCCCTTTAAAAGAGAGAGTAGTCAACTCTGCATCAGAGACAGACTCATCAAGGAAGGTTCTAAGAAAGGAAGACAATGCTTGGCCATGATTTTGAAGGATGAGTGGAAAAAAAAAAAAATCCCCCAAGTGGACAGAAGAAGGAAGTAAGGAATGTGATTCCAGAAGAACAACACTGAATATAAAGAAGCGTCACCCAAAACAGCACGGTCAGTACAAAGAAATACATGTAAGTCACCACACTGATAAATGGACAGTGCCCTTTAACCGTTCTCTAACCCCCATCCTCTGCTCCTCCAGATGCTGCAAAAAAGGACAGAGGAACTATAAAGCCTGCCATTCTCTTGAACTGCATTTCCCGAAGAGGTCCACTCCTCTCACCTCCCCTCCAAACTGAGAATTGGAAAGGGACTAGGCAGCCTCCCTTGTCAATGAGAAGCAGTGGTGCAGCGACACTCTCCAAAACAGCTTCCCAACAGCATCCCTATCTAACGCCTCACCCAGCCTTTGGTTTTCTTCATGGTCTTTATTTACCACTCAAATTCCATCCTCTATTCATTCTTTTCCTTGTTTATTGCCTTTCTCCGTCATTAGACTATTCATTAGACTATAAGCTCCAGGAAGGCATGGGATGGGCCTTGTCTATTCTATTCTATTCACCACTGTGGTTTTCTTTGTTTTTTGCTTTTTGTTTGAGACAGGGTCTTTTGAGACAGGGTCAGGCTGTAAGTGGAATGGTGTGACCATGACCCACTGCAGCCTCAACCTCCTGGGCTCAAGCAATCCTCTCGCCTCGGACCACCAAGAAGTTGGGACTACAGGTGCTTGCCACCACACCTGGCTAATTTTATAATTTTTATTTTGTAAAGACAAGGTCTCACTATATTGCCCAGTCTGGTCTCAAACTCCTGGGTTCAAGGGATCCTCCCACCTCAGCCTCTCAAAGTGCAAGAATTATCATCATGAGTCATCCTGCCCACGGTATCCGGAAGAACACTTGCCGCAGGAAGACACTCCACAAATCCTTGCTGAATGAATGAATGCTGTTTTACCTTACCCAACATACAGCATTATGATTATTTTAAACCTAAAACTCCAATCAAAATAATATTTCACTTTTATCAGGTAATACTTTCTGGAACATTTCACATATTTTCATGGTCTAATGAAATTTTCTAATGCTCTAAATAGCATCCCTATGCCCTCTATTTTCTTTTTCACCGCAACAAATATTTAAAACAAAATCTGTCTCCAAAATTAACAATTAAGAAGTTTAACTCTGCTCTATACACACAGCAATATTTCATTAGAGTATCTTTGGACCAAAGAGAACAAGGTAACAATTTTAGATAAAGTGGTATGCCAACTACAAACTGATGTACCGCTTCAGTGAAACATACATCAAGAAAAACAGAAGGAAGTTATTCTATACTTAACAAAAAACTCCAAGTCCTGCTAATAAAACAAAAATATCTCAGGTAGGAAAAAAAAAATGACTGATGTTATTTAAAAAACAGATAACACATGACAATGCTAAGGAGGTCACCATTTTTTAGGAATTAGTATCACTGATAATAGTAAATTCATAGAGACCAGGTCTTGCGAAGACTGTATGTGATATAAAATGCTTGGTAAAATGTTTGGAAAGCTCCTGGAATGTGTTTATCCAACTGGCCATTTCACTTTGGGTTTATTCTGAGCAACTTTCAGGCTACTTGTGTCACAGATAGGATGGTCTTTCCCTGGTATTTTAGGCTTTTTTTTTTTTTTTTTGAGACACAGTCTCATTCTGTTGCCCAGGCTGGAGTGCAGTGGAGCAATCTCGGCTCACTGCAACCTCTGCCTCCTGGGTTCAAGCGATTCTCATGCCTTAGCCTCCTGAGTAGCTGGGATTACAGGCATGCACTATCACACCCAGCTAATTTTTGTATTTTTTAGTAGAGACGGAGTTTCGCCAGGTTGATCCACCCACCTCGGCCTTCCAAAGTGCCGGGATTACAAGGCATGAGCCACCGCGCCCAGCCACATTTTAGGCTTTAAAAGGATACAGGAAACTAGTACTGCAAGCTTAGCCGTGCCATTACTGAACTGATTAAAATTTTTGACACAAATTGTAAATCAGGCAAAATGCAACTTCAAAGGTTCAAATATTATGAAAAATATTTACTGTTACTATGAATCTATTTCAAGACCAATGAAGGCTGAAGTAAGACCTAACTGTTGCCTTGCCAAATCCTTTCTCAATATAAATGCCATGTAAAATTACACAATGGATTTACTCTAACCCTTTTTACATGGGAGTTACAAAAAGAAGCCTTTAAACCCCTCTAGGGATAAATTTACTTTTCTCAGCCAAGTGTTAACAGCAATAAATGGAGGATTTACATGTAATCCCTAAAAGCAAATAGGCAGAAATTACCAACCATGCTATGACTTTTTAACTAAGCATTTTATTTAATCCCACTTATATAACAGGACAATTTAAAGGGTGCCAGTTCTAAAAATATGAGATGCAAATGCAAAATAGTGTCCCTAATATTTTAAAGCAAATTTTCTAGGATTGTATATTCAAACAAATGTGGGCTGGTTTTGGTTTTTTTTCAGAGTACTCACTAGGAATGACTAAATAAACACCTATTCAATCAATACTGCCATTTCTTAAAAATAATAGATATCTGAAAACTTTTTTCAAAGTCAATGTATAAGTGATATCCTTTCGAAATAGATACAAATGAACATTAAACTAAAAAAAAATGGATTTATTCATAGGCTAATAACAGTATAATAAATGAGCTACATGGTAAGAGTCTCTTTGTGTTAACTGCTCATTGGTGGCCCACCATCCTAGAACTGTATTTCCAGGATTCCATCAGCATCTGGTTAATGAGATCTATTTCTCTGGTAAGTATTCTTCAGATAAATCAGACTTTATCAAAAACAGAATTCATATTATTGCAAACCATAATAGCTAGTTTGTGATTTGTAAGACCATGTTATTGATATCACAAATCTAAAAGAGATGTTCCATTGAGAAAAAGAGATCCCTTTACCCAACCATTATACTCTAAAAATAAAACCAACATTTCTTCACACACATACAAAATCAAGGCAGAAATATACAAGACTTCGACACAAAAAAATCTTATCAAAGGGTCAGCGTTTCACGTTCTAAACTTGTTTTCACCGGTCAGTAACAGTCTAGTCTGACAAATAGTAGGCCAAACGGCTGATGTCACTTACCTTCTTGTATTCCAACCTCGCTGAAAAATCAGGAGAAACCTGTTTACAAACAATCTGTGCCTTGAGCAGAGTTCTGCTACCTCTAAATAAACCCCTTTTAATTTCTGATCACACGACTCATAAGAGTTCAGCAAAAATAAGAAAAAAAAATTACTAGCCAAATACACATAATCACTCTTCACATTCTGATGTAGTAAAAATGGTCACTTGCTAAGGCTTCTTTTCTTCAAGACATTCTCCTTTTTTGCCCCCTCTTCCTTCCACTTACTTCCCTGCTAAAGATTTCAGTATTATTCAGATAACCAGTACCCTTTAGTCAAGAAAATGGCTTTCTGAAGAAACTGAGCACAGTGGTACTCTGGAATAAAATCCCCCTGGGCTCTGAGTAGAAGTGCAACACTCCTGCCCATGTACAACCTGTCACACCTGCCACCAGCCCGGAAGGCCGGGACTACCACGGAACCTGTTTCCAGCATTCGACGCCTCCTGCAAAACACCACTTACTGTGCCAGGCATATGACTTCTCTCATTCTTCCCATTCTGAGAGCTGCCATTTTTTAGCTTCTTTTTCTTTTTTGCTGTTTCTTTGTGCTCTTTCTGTTTGTTTTGCACTTCAATAAGAACAGAAATAAAGCTGTTTTTCACTTCCTTTTCAAACTCCAGTTCATCTCGTAAAGCCAACTGCTGCACCAGCTCCTCAGAGTACTCCTTAATGGCAGTCTCAATTTCTTCTAGGATTTCATTTAACTCAGACACTGAGAGCCTTTTCACTCCTAGGACCAAAAACAAAATACAGCAGATATTAAGGCAAAAGCGTTTCAAGGAAGCAAAACAGAGCAGTCACTAGGAGTAACTAAATAAACACCTATGTAATCAATGCCAAAGAGCAAAAATTATATTCCAAGCAATTAAATTGACTGTGTGTGATCTTCTCAGAATTCTAAAATTTCTGGAGGGCAGGTCTGAGTAGTGGTAAGTGGGCAGGTGAGTCACTTCTCAGCTTGCTGGGAAGAAAGTCTAACGAAAGTTTTTACTTGTGCAAATAAATCATTCCATGAATAATACTTCAGTCAAGACTGTGAAGGCTTGTACATGGAAAAGAACAAACACAAAAGCAGAGGGAAAGTACAGAATCCACCTGCTGGCAAGAAACTGCAAGTCATTCAGCAGGGTTCTGGGATATCTCTGAACAGGAAAGGAGTTGATCTGAAAGAATTAAATTAAATACATACTTAATGACATACACCCCAATCTGTGAATTTTGTTGAAAATTGGTGATATGGTTTGTATCTGTGTCCCCACTCAAATCTCATACTGAAATGTAATCCCCAATGTTGGAGGTGAAGCTTGCTGGGAGGTCATTGGATCATGAGAGCAATTTCTAACAGTTTAGTACCATTCCCCTGGTGCTGTTCTCATAACAGAGTTCTCATGTGACCTGGTTGTTTAAAAGCGTGTGGCACCTCCACCAGGCCCCCTTCCTCCTGCTCCAGCCATGTGAAGATGCCTGCTCCGGCTTTGCCTCCTACCATGAGTAAAAGCTCCCTGAGGCCTCCCCAGAAGCAGATGCTGCCAGGCTTCCTGTACAGCCTGCGGAACCATTAGCCAATTAAACCTCTTTTCCTATAAATTACCCAGTTTTAGGCATTTCTTTGTAGCAGTACGAGAATGGACTAAACAACTGGGAAGACAAACGGGAACAATATTCCCTGAAACCCCATTTCAGTCTTTTCTCAGCACTTCTCCCCATGTGAGAGATAGGACACTGTTAAAGTCCCAACCCACAGGGCCTCAGAATGTGGAGAGGGGGTCTTTGAAGAGGTAAAACAAGGTTAAAAGAGGGCACTAGGATGGGCCCTAACCCAGTATGACCAGTATTCTTATAAAACAGGGTGACCAGAACACAGAAGAAAGACCATGTGAAGACATAGGGAGAAGGCAGCCATCTGCATGTCATGGAGAGAGGCCTCTGAAAAAAACCAAACCTGCCAACACCTTGATCTCAGACTTCTGGCCTCCAGAACTGTAAGAATATAAATTCCTGTGGTTTACGCCACTCACCCTGTGGTACTTTGTTCTGGCAGCCCTAGCGAACCAATACAGATTTCAGTATCTATATCAAGTATCAGGACTGTATTTGGGAGTCAGGACCTTAACGCCATTTAGCCCATATCTACAGAAGCATGGTCAAATCAGACCATCTGAAAGACTTTGGTCTGTCTGACCATCTGTATGTTGAAGCCATACAACCAACATTCTTTAGGTAACTAAGCTTCGGACTGGGCATGCCATAAAGATAAAACTAGGTGACAACACGGGTTGAGCAGATACAGACTCTGTCACTGCCTACTCAAGGAGGAGACCAGTCATATGGCAATGATTAGATACACACCTTCCTTCCAACCGGTCTCAGGCTCTTCACAGGCTGGTTATAATTATTCAGAAACTTTTCATGAAAATCAACTGTAGAATTTCTAGAATTAATTATTCTCATATACGTCAAACAGATCCATGGTTCCCAAAATTCTTCACAGTAACACATAAGACTATTTGTATAGACAGGAATTGCATTTGACAAAGAATTACTGAATATCTATTCTACACTTCAAATATGATGGGGTTTGTTATAGACTCAATTGTGTCCTCTCCAGATTCATGTGTTGATGTCCTAATCCCACTACCTCAGAATGTTACAGTATTTGGAGATATGGTCTTTAATGACATTAAAATAAGGTCATTAGGATAGACTCTAATTCAATATGATTGCTGTCCTTATAAGAGGAAATTTGGGGCGGGGCATGGTGGCTCACGCCTGTAATGGCAGCACTTTGGGAGGCTGAGGCAGGTGGATCATGAGGTCAGGAGTTCGAGACCAGCCTGGCCAACATGGCAAAACTCCGTCTCTACTAAAAATATAAAAATTAGCCGGGCGTGGTGGTGGGCACCTGTAATCCTAGCTACTTGAGAGGCTGACACAGGAGAACTGCTTGAACCCAGGAGGCAGAGATTATAGTGAGCCAAGATCACACCACTTCATTCCAGCTTGGGCCAAAAAGTGAAACTCCATCTCAACAACAACAAAAAAGTAAATCTGGACACAGACACAAACAGAAGGAGGATTAAATCAAAGCTTTCTGGAGATGATCACACTATATATTTGATATAGTCAAAAAGCACAGAAATCATTGATTTAAGCAGGCTCCCTTACTCTCTTCATAACTGCTGGTACTAGACCTCTTAAGAGTTTGAATTTCCTGGGAAAGCATTGAAAGCCGATCTGACTGTGTAGGGGTTTCATCATCTTCTGGGTCCGGTGATTCCTGCATCATTTCTTCAATTTCTTCAATAACCTTCGAAAACATACATACCACTGTTAATCAAATAAACAAAAGGAAAATGATCTAGCTGGAACACGGTGCTCACCTAAGGCACCCAGAGCAGAAATGCACTGAATTCTCCATTAACCAGTGATGTTCAGGTGTGGATGCTCTGAATAATCAAAATTTTGATTGTAGGAGTGAACATGGTTTATCAAGAAAAAATTACACTATACTAAACACAAACCTAAATAGAGGCCGGGCGCGGTGGCTCAAGCCTGTAATCCCAGCACTTTGGGAGGCCGAGACGGGCGGATCACGAGGTCAGGAGATCGAGACCATCCCATATACGTCAAACAGATCCATGGTTCCCAAAAT